TATTTTAATTATCTTATTTTAAATACATTGTGATTTGACGGAATAACCAAATAATTTAATTTTAATTTTAAGTCACCTTCAATGTTCCACTTCCAATTAATGAGGCTCTACTGACCAAGTCACAATTAGATGTGAACATTTTTGTTAGAACACAAAGTCTATCCAGACTCAAACGGTAGCAGTCAACTGACTTTTACTGCCTTCAGAGTTATAAATAATTAATATTATACCGACAAGATTTAGTTGGAAAAGAAAGTCTTACTGACATCAGACCAACATTTAAGTTACAATGTGTTGCAAATCCATATCAAAAAATGTTACTTTAGTAATTAATTTTTAAAAACATAATCCACCCCTACTTCTTCACACAATATTCAAAACACATCACTTAACACTTATCAGCACTAACTAACTAACTAACTAACTAACTAGATGGCTTACCGAACCCGAAGGTTCATCACCGAATTAACCAAAGCCCTCCACCGGACCCTGTCCTGGGCCAACAAAATCCAGTTTCCTTCAACTCCTATCTCCCATAGATCCCGCCTGAGATTATCCTCCCATCTACGTCTAGGTCTCCCCAGTGGTCTCTTCCCTTCAGGTTTCCCAACCAGTACCCGGTGCACACCTCTTGTCCCATCCATGCGCGCTACATGTCCCGCCCATCTCACTCTTCTCGACTTAATCACCCTCACAATACTGGGGGAGCAGTACAGATTTTTAAGCTCGTCATTGTGCAGTTTTCTCCACGCCCCATCGTCTTCCCTCTTAGGCCCAAATATCCTTCTCAACACCCGATTCTCAAACACCTGCAATCTGTGTTCCTCCCTCTGAGTGAGAGACCATGTTTCGCACCCATACAAAACAACAGGCAAGATTACACTTATGTCAACACAGCAATAATTACGAGCCAACTCTGATAAACATTTTTTTTCTTCCTTTCATTAATAAAAAATTAATGCCTACTGTACCTAGAGTTAGCATTACTTTTACAGGTCATCTAATATTTCTTTAAAAATAGAAAATAGTAAGAATGGGTCAAAAAAAATCACAGTACGTGCTGCTTTTGAGCATACCTCCAGTGTCTATAGCTTCTACCAAAGCATCTGTATCTTTGCTGCGAATACAATCAATCAGCTGTCTGTGAGACTTCTCCCCTGCACTGTCCATACGACGTAGTCTTGGCAGCAACTGACCCGCTCCTACACATCCAATGCCAGTTCGGGACAGAGCTTTACGACCTTCAAACAGCAGCACTAGAAGAAGATCTACCAACCGCATCGAGTCTAAAGAACACCTATCACAAAATCACAAAAATTAAATTATTCCTCACGAATTCAAATCAGAAATAAACCAAATTACATTGACAATAACAAATAAAGACCACTGCAGGCCAGACTGAAATTTCTGTAGGCCAAAAGTGAGCACTAAGCCATAATTTGACAACTCGAAATCTAAATCAGACATTCTTACCTTTCGTCTCCTGTTAGAGCTTTCTCAATAGCATCTGGCAATTCTGACCTTAAGAGATCCTGCAACGAACAATGATATGAATGTACATATTGTATAATCAGTATGTCGGACAACAAGTTTACATTGACTAGAGCTCCATTACTTACATGAGTGATACTGGGAGATCCACGACATAAGGTTGATAACAAACTAATTATTGTTGACACTGAGGCTGAAGATTTTGTTTCTGGTGTTGTTGTGGTGGTATTGACACCAGGTGTCCCTAATTAAATAAAAACACTCTTAGTGCTGTATGAAATATGTGTTACAAGAAAATATGCGATACTAATAAATGCCTATATTTATTGATGTTTTGCACTAATGGACTTGGTGTCATAAAACACCAACAGTTGTTGCTTATTCAAGCACAAACATATTCAATATATGATCCCTGTCCAAAACCATTTTTTAACATCAAATGAGATTTTCCACAATTGCAGCCAGTGTTTCTTCAGTGTTGATATCCATAGCAGCTGACTTTATCCCTTCAATCTTCAACTGTATGTGGAAAATTCCTGTAAGTATAGTCTGGGGGGCATCACTAACAAGTAATCAAATCCCAAACATTATATGTCCTATGACACCAAATTCATTAATGCCAATAAATACAGGAATTTAAAACTGCTACTTCTTCTGATGACCCTGTACAGTTACAAACAATAAAAATAGCAACCACAAAAAATACCTTAAAATTATGAAAGAAACTATCTGGAATATTCACAATAACCTAACTACACTGACATTCAGTATTTTATCAATTTTACAATATTTTAAAATTATTAGATATTTAATGCAATGTATTATTGTAAAATTGATAAAAACCTGAAGACGACGGTATTACCCGTCGAAACATGTCGTTTTAATAGATGGAAAGCGCTAGTAATATAATGTAAAATCGTATGTACGATTAAGAGCGCCAAATATAATATTTTATGCAACAAAATGTTTTAATATTATATAATCTTAACAACATCAATAAACTTCAACGTTTGTGTATGGACTGTAAAAATAAATATATTTAATCAAACACAAACATGACGCATTTAAGTTACAAATTAAGTTACAACTTGGAAGTGTTTTAGAAGCACTCACCTGGACCTGTACAAGTCGACGTGGTCGGGCCTGCAGCATTTGACAGCCTCGTGAGCAGTTCTGATACCAGTCCGTGCTCTGCAAGTGGAGCCGGATCTACACCCCTCCTTGTGAAGCGGTCAGCTAGAGATGCAAAGCATCTGAGAGCTCCATCTGCGACCTGCAATAAATAACCACAAAATAATTTTAAGGTAAAAATCTGAATTTGTGACAGATTATTATGTATTTTATTTGTAGTGTTCTGTCTGCCGACAGGTCCATATGAACAGGATCCTTCCATCCTTTTCTCGGACTGGGACCTGTTCATATACGTTCTTGGCAGATGATCCAGAAGTGGTTTGCCATTGCCTTCTTCTGTGTGTGAATGGAGTAATTGTTGGGATGCCACGGAGGAAAACTCCGTGTTTCCTAGACCACGGCCTTGCCCAACACAAGTTATAAATTCGAACCCGAGACCCCAGGATTACAAGGCCAGCGTTCTAACCGCTGGACCACCGTGCACGAAAGAGAGGAGGTACAACTCCTACTCATTCTCAACCTTGGCAGTCGACGGGGGGTGAGTGGTCAGCATCAGGTTTTAGGTTCTCACAGTGGTGAGTATGAAGATGGCTGTCTTCTGGGCTGTAGTGTCATGTAGTCTGGTACCTTGATGACGGAGGCAGCAAACACCTCTGAAGCATCAGTAAATTTCTACCAGACTAAATGGTACTACAACCAAGAAGACAAGCCATCTTGATCGAGACCATTTTTATAGGTCAGAGAGTAAAGTCTAAATTAAAAACCAAATTTAATTCAAATCTATTCAGAAGTTTGGATATAAAATATACTAGCAGACAAACGGACATGGACAAAGAATGCATAACAATTACAATCAACTTTTACTTACATGACTATCCTCATGTTTGAGGAGTGTTGAAAGGGCCTCCACACATGTAGGGAGGGAAGGGTCTTGAGGCTCCATCTTCGTGCATAATCGAGAAACTACAGCCATTGCAGAGTGCAGTGTGTCTTTGTGCACTCGACAACCATTATCACGAATAAATGACAGGACACAGTTCAAACCACCTGCCTCAAAAACTGCTCCAGCCTCTCGGGTGCAGATCAGTTCTAAAACCTGCCATACAAACACACATTAACACCAGTCTCAACTCATATGGAAAGTTTGATATTCAACAATTTGCTCATTCCTTTCTCTCAGTATTTCCCAAACAGAAAAATTAAATTTTCTTTTTAATACATCGTACTTTGGAAGCATACACTAGTCTAAGCAGTTGAGATAACGTTTCTGTGGCAAACACTGGTAAAACCCCGGAGAGATACAATAAGGAACACACACATTAAGGGAGAGCTCAAGACAGAAGAAATACAGAACCAAATTGAAAGTAGTTCATTGAAATGGCCTCTTCAAATGTTGTTCTTAGTTTATTTAATGACATGTTCTTGTCTGCAGAACTTACTAGAAATTCAATGGAACGACAACTGTGAATTGAGAAGGATGTAAAAAGAAAAACAAAATAATGGTTGTGGCCTATTTCAAGATACTTCCCAATACTTACCTGGAAGGACCAAGGAATGCCAAAAAAAATCTCAATCAAGAAAGTCAACTTCCATGGGGAAACTGAACCTACTTCACAAAGTACTGTACAAGTAAAAATCAGACTTTGGAAGCTCTTACACCTGAACCCACAAACATTAAAGCCAATTATTCTGACTGAAACAAAACAAAAAGAATAATCAGTTACCAGAAAACTCTGTGATTAAGATGATAATGATACTGTACCTTAATGCACTGTTCAGCAAGGTCTTTGCTAGTACGTGATGCCAATTCTGCAACCACCAGTCTGTTGCAAATAGCTTTCACAGCACCATCCATAGCAATAATTCTGCGTGTGCATTCTGCTGAAACATCTAGGTAGTACGTAATTGCTCGTGCTGTTACCTCCAGTACATTGTCAGGAGCACACTCATCCAGGAATATTCGACACAAAGCCGGCAAGAACGTGCGTGGTGGGCAACTGTAAACATTTCAAAATTATTTTAAAGCTGACATATGAGGTGATTAATTTTAGGTTATGTTCCTAATAACCAATGCTTTATTTCTAGTTACATGCACTAGTACTGCTTACTGATACATTTTGCTCAAAATACAGAAAGTACATTAAAATATTTAAAAATTGTTGGACACATCTTATCACATCAAAGCACCACCAAATTATTTTTTTAGAGAAAAAGAGACACTGCTAATATAAATCCGTGGCGTAACAGCCCTCTGAGAGCCAAAGCCGACTAGCTTGACTGCTGGCCTCACGTTCACATGCCTAAGCAGAGGTGGACGATCATCCAACCAGATATAGGGTGACGTGTGGTCAGCACGACGAACACCCAGCCATTGCTAGTTTTCCTGACCGGATTACGCTACTCATTGTAGCTCCCCAATTTCCTCACAATGCTGGGTTGGCACCGGTCCCATACACCGGTCGAAAGCTCATGAAAAAATTTCTTCTCCCCCGAGACTCGAACCAGCGCGCATTCCGTATCGCCGGTCCGAAGCATGATACCTCAGACCGCGCGGCTACGGCGCGGGACACACTGCTAATATAACTTTTTCATAAATAATCATTTTTGTATTAACAATATATAACAAATTCAGAATTAACCAGACAGAAAAATCGTTCAGCTGTAAATATAGGTAGGGAAAAAATACTCATTATTGTATTTACAACAATACACAAACATGTGATGTAAGAAGACAGAAGAAACAAATTATATTCAGAAAACTGATAGCAGAATGCAAAGCATTTCCTAAAAATCCTGCAAATAAACTCACAAAAATTTGTGTGGTTGTATAGATTTCATAAAATACGCTATGACCCTGAGTTGCTCTTTATTCAATGAGTACTTCACAGCAAAAGGGCATAGCTCATGTCCCACTGAAATAGATGTACATTACCAAAAGATAACATTAACAACACAAGTCTTGGAGGACTGCAAGCCTGTACAATATGACATCTGCCTTTATTTGTTACTTTTCCAGAACTCATTGTTTATATAATACATTAACAAGAACTCTATTAGCCTGTCTTACACATTTACATACAAAACTTTCTCTTCATTACTTCATTTGTGTTCATTTGGACATCCCTGCACATCACATGGCAAACAATGACACATATGTTATGAAAGTTACCTTTCTAATGACTAAAACAACTCTCCTCCGTTTATCCACTGTGTACCGATTCACACATTCAGCTAAGATCTGAGGAAAGTTAATACCCCCACCAAAGTTAATTTCAGCACAAATCCATCAATGAAGAAATATACAGTAACATAATGCTATTAATTCAAACATAACATTTTGTTTTCAGACATTACGATTCAAAGAGAAGTTCGCAGAACGATGTTCTGGGACAGAAAAAGTAACAGAAGAATCAAGACAAACCCACAATAAGAAACTCAAGACTTTTACATTTCAGCATCATTAGCGTGATGAAATCAAAAGTTAGAACGTAGCAAACACAGGAAAAATAATAAAAATACAAAATTCTTGTGAGAAAGCAGACCCAAGTACAGAAGAAAGTATGATAATGAAAAGAATCTTGGAGAACTAGGTTCTAAAGATGTGAACTAAATGGAGCTTTGCTTATCATAGGTTCTATAGCAACAAGAAATTAATATTTATTTTTTTAAAAACTTGAATAGTTACGAACGGCATAAGACAAAATTAGTTATCAGATTAAATTCATTTCATTTCAGATGATAAAGTTGCGTAATATTGTGATAAATATATATTTGTTTAATCTTGTCAGTCTAATCACAATAAAATTCCTATTAAATATTAAAATATTACTATAATTAACATTTAAATATTTAAAATATATTAAAATGATGTTCTCTATCGAAATGTTTGATTTACAATTAGAACATCAGTTGATGATATTCTAATTGTAAATCGAACATCAGTTGATGATGTTCTAATTGTAAATCGAACATTTCGATAGGGAACATCATTTTAATATATTTTAAATATTTAAATGTTAATTATAGTAATATTTTAATATTTAATAGGAATTTTATTGTGATTAGACTGACAAGATTAAACAAAAATATTCATTTCATTTGTTCTTCCTACATTTGTACTTTGCTTTAGGATCTCACTGACCTGCAACTGGTGTCTGAATCAGAAGAAATATTAGCAACTAAGGGCATTTACAAAGAAAGAGCAACCAGAAGTTGAATTTGTTATAACAATAAACTATTAGAATTTTTACTATACAACAATGCAGATGTAATGGGAAGGAACATGTTGAATGAGTTCTGATAGGATTAATAAATAAGTAAAACACATCTATAGAAAGCAGACCCTCAATATGACCACTGAAGATTGAAAGACACTTTTGCAATGTCTGTAGGAAATAAAAGTGATTATTGACATACTTCCTTGAGAAAACTCAGCATGAGTCAAAAGTGTCACATATCAGCAACATTAAACACAAGAACAAAAGAGGGGAAAAAAATTGACTAGACAGGAAACAGATTTCATGTACTCAGATTAAAATATTACAAGATTATATACATCTCAGAACCAGACATTTGCCAAGACCAATGGAAGTGAATGACCTCCATTCTCAGCTGACAACTGAGCCAAGGTTTAACATAAAGCACAGAGTTATTCTGAGAGTACAGTAACCAGTGCCAGCACATGGAAATTCTACATTTCCCCTGACACATGCTTCTGGAAATTGCAGTAACTTGAATATAACAACAGATCCAGCTGGGCCTGTGTCAGGCAGAAAATTACTTTACCAGACATGCTAGTTTTACCACCCTGTAATAAGAAAAAACATTTTAACTCCTATATCCCATAGATCCCGCCTGAGATTATCCTCCCATCTACGTCTAGGTCTCCCCAGAGGTCTCTTCCCCTCAGGCTTCCCAAATAGTGGACCCAACCAACCAGATGGCCTATCGAACCCGAAGGTTCATCACCGAATTAACCAAATCCCTCCACCGGACCCTGTCCTGGGCCAACAAAATCCAGTCTCCTTCAACTCCTATCTCCCATAGATCCCGCCTGACCTTATCCTCCCATCTACGTCTAGGTCTCCCCAGTGGTCTCTTCCCCTCAGGTTTCCTGATCAATATACAATGAACACATCTTGCACCCTCCATGCATGCCACATGACCTGCCAATCTCATTCTTCTTGACTTAATTTAATTACAAATTTTTAAGCTCGTCATTATGCAGCTTTCTCCATACCCCATCGTCTTCTCTCCTAGGCCCAAATATCCTCCTCAACACCCTATTCTCAAACACCTGCAACCCATGTTCCTCCTTCAGAGTGAGAGACCATGTTTCACACCCATACAAAACAACGGGAAGAATTAGTGTTTTGTATTTTTGAATCTTCAGGTTCTTAGAAATCAGACGGGAAGACAAAATACTTTGAACTGAAAAGTAGCAAGCATTTCCAGAATTTAGTCTCCTCTTAACTTCCTCAAGAATATCATTCTAATTACATTTTCAACAGCAATGTAAAACAAACATAGCAACATTGCGGGGACCATCTGGGCCTCGTTCAGAGAGAAAACAAATTTAAAATCTGTGACACACAACAGAACATGTAAATAATATGGCAACTGTTAACTATGCCTGAAGTTAAATTTAGAGTTACTTATATAAAAGGTGTAAAGTTAAACATCTTAACCAACTAACTAAAGAAAATAAGTGATTTAAAAATTAACTTCTCAAACAAACCACTTAATTAAGTGTTACAGTCAATATTTAAATGACCAAAACATTTTCTTTTTCTGAGAAAAAGTCACAACTGTGCGCCATTTCCTCAACTGCCTATTATTTACTTCTATAGCATCTGACAGTACTCCAAATTGATGAATTTTCAAGAGAAAACATCTGAGTTCAATCACTCACACTGCTACCATAAAGCAGGAAGCAACAAAAACCTGTATTTCCAAATAGGGCAAGTGACATGGTCAATAGTGTCTTACGATAAACACTACCGGTATAATATCCCTTCAAGTTCCAAGGTTACTCTATTTTTTTTTATTTTTAGTGTTCTGTCTGCCGACAGGTCCATATGAACAGAATCCTTCCATCCTTTTCTCTTCTCGGACTGGGACCTGTTCATATACGTTCTTGGCAGATGATCCAGAAGTGGTTTGCCATTGCCTTCTTCTGTGTGTGAATGGAGTAATTGTTGGGATGCCACGGAGAAACCGGGGAAGCCCCCGGAGGAAAACTCCGTGATGCCTAGACCACGGCCTTGCCCAACACAAGTTATAAATTTGAGCACCACCGGGAATTGAACCCGGGACCCCAGGCTTACAAGGCTAGTGTTCTGACCGCTAGACCACCATTGCATTACTTGGCATTAATTAAAAAAATGTTATATTTATTCTGGCCCGGACACAAAATAACTAACAAATATTTCCTTAATTCTAAAAGTTAAAAAGTATGGCTATACAATACAAATAAATATTCTGAAAATCAAGGTTTTGCAACAAGATCAGAAAAACATATATTCACAATCATGACTAAGTACTGACATTACGAGTTTCCCTGTTTGGGTTTATCAGTCTGTTAAAAACACTGTATCAACTGCGGAATTTGTTTATAAAAAAAAATGAGATGTGAAGATGATTACATACAGTGAAGTAGAAAGGCTGAGAAAGCAACACCTACATAAGGTAAGATAAAGTACAGGCAAAGCAGACACTTGTCCAGCCTACAACCAGTCATTTTACTGAGCTCAAGGAACCATTTCAGAAAAACCAAAAAAACTTATCACCATAGCTTATATCAGGGCTGAGATTTGATTTCAGGTATTTCTAAGTATGAGGTTGGACAGCCAAGTACAACACCAAGGTGCCTCATGATCAGGAATGGCATGGTTATCTGATGTTACTGGTTACTGGGAACGACCCGTTCTTCAAGTGCCTCAGCACTGCGGGTCCCAACTTTTCATTGGCTTGATCTATAGACATTTTGATAAGACTCCTTGGACGAGGGTCTCGGCCCATCGCAAGACCTCTACCTGTACACAGGACAGCACAACACAGAAGAACGCAGACAAACATCCATGGCTTGAGTGGGATTCGAACCCACGGTCCCAGCGACCAAGCGGCACGAGGCTCACGCCTCAGACCGCGCGGCCGCTGCGGACCCCGGTTATCTGATGTACAATGTTAAATACAATCACTTATAAAACCTGTAATGCACTTCATTTTCACATGATAAAAACAATGAAAACTTTGTACCATTTATTAGTGAAAAGTGAATTATGCATCAATTAGCAAACTTTTAATAACATACACAGATTTGGTAATTACCTCTCGAAGCAGCGATCAACATTATCAGACATGAGCAGCAGCATACAAAGTTGTTCCAGCGCAATAAGCTGCATGTCTCGCTCGTCTCCCTGCCCCATGTTCAGCCATTCCAGGAGTGTTTCTGGGTCTACTTCTGCCATCTAAAACAAAGGACAAGTTTTTATCACCTAGAATCCATTTTTACTCTCATGCTTTGTGAAGACACACGAAAAACATAAGTCAAACGTACTTCTACACCTGATACTTAGGTTGTCGGTTGCAGTAAAAATATATCGGTAACATCAATTACAATGAATAAAATTGCATAATCTCCTTCAGAAAAAGGCAATTAGAACAATGATGGGATGTAGCAATAGAGTATCGTGTAGAAATATATTCAAAGAATTAGATATCTTACCGTTGGCATCACAATATATATTTTCTTTATTATTGTTTGTATTACAAAACAAAACTCTTTTTCCATCAAACATTGACTCTCATACTATTGATACTAGACAGAGAGAAAATGTGTATCTACCTCAAGCCAATTTAACTATTTATCAGAAAGGAGTTCACTATGCGGGTATAAAGATATTTAATAAATTACCCACAGAGGTTAAGAATACCTCAAATAATTTTAAAAAGTTCAAGGTTGCATTAAGGCATTTCTTAATTACTCACTCGTTTTACACTGTGGATGAGTACTTAATTGGATAACTATTGTAATAAAAATACTAATTATATTGTCTTGAATTTAGTACGCTGCTTGTCTAGATGTAATTTTTTTAATGTATGTATTTTATGTTTTTATACTTGAGTTTGTGACGTGTTCTATATCCACTATTGGATTCTTGGAACTTGTAAATAAATTAAAAAAAATAATCATGTTCTGAACACGAACTTCTCCACTTACAGCCAATTAATCTGGCAGGAATCTAGTAAATATGTAAGAAATTATTCTTAAAAAGTTCGATATACATTGCGTTCCACAACCAGTCAGCCATAAATTGGGAGGTGCTTCAGGAGGTAATTTCAATTAATAAATATTATACAACATTGGCCCTATTTCCAACCATTGCAGAGCATTGGTTGCATATTTTACCACTAGTAATTCTCAGCTGTTCTTGTTAGCTGTTTGTTGGTTCTGGAGATCCATGCCCAGTGTGTTGCAGTAAAATAAATCAATGGTCAGTGTTATGAAAACCACTGGAGTGTTGTCATGGTCCAATACTTTGGCAATTAAGGCTTTGACCGGGATGTTCTTTTGTTAAATCTTATGTGGTACCGCCTGATTCGACTTCTAATGGTTAAGTGAAGTGTTTTCTTCGCGGTACGGTCTGGATTCGTAAATATTATGAAGACGAGCTTCGGCTTCAAAGGGTTAACCAGCTGATTTTCGTAATGGTGAGGTGTAGTGTTTTCTTCGCGGTACGGACTGAATTCATAAATAACATTCAGACGATCTTCGGCTTCAAAGGGTTAAGATCTCCAGACCTAATATACCATGATTTCCTTTTATGGTATCTAATAAAAGAGATGAATCACAGGATCAAAATATACACAAGAGAGGATTTGCTGCATCAGATAATGGATGCTGCTTACATATTTCAACACACTGAAATGATTCAGAGGGCAGTAAACTCTTGTTTGGAATGAGCAAGCCAGTGTATTAACAGAACTGGATTGACTATGACAGTACCCACAACCAACCTTGGACACATGCCAGCAGCAACTGAATTAAGCAACAAACAATAATCAACAGACAAAGCAAAGTTGCACCTGGAAGACAGTGTCAGCTATTACGAAAATATGACACATAAAACATGGAAGTAACTCTTTTGCACGTATTCAACTACAGACATTACTGAAACCAAAAATTATTCCCAACATAAATACAAAATTTCATAAATTCCTTACTGATGATAATTAATAGATCTTAAAGACAACTGAACTGCACTTGTCACCAGTGACTCTATAAACACACCAGATGAATAAAACCAAACTTAAACATGGGAGTTCTAATCAGACCTCATAATCCCCTTTTCCTTCTGTACCGAGTACCAGTCCTGCACATTTTGTAAAGTAATAAGTATTAACAGCGAACTCAAACTGTGAGTGTATGTTACTTTTTGAAAGCATTATTTGTTATAAAAATCATCACTGGTCTTGATCTTCATTTACTGCAGACAAAATCACTGTTGACAAAGATTCTCAACAAACTAGAGCTGGACACCACACTGGAGAACAAATGACAACTAGTGTTTCGTTAAATGTAAACCATATTTACATTTGAAAAATGTATCCAATAAAAAGTTACAGACCTCATCAAAATATATTTTACATCCACGAGTAGTTTTTTTTAAAAAAAAAAACTTGATGAACTTCGATGTGAACGTCACGAAAAGCAGTTGGCCATTGCAGACCAAAACGAAATTCGCCAGACAATTTTAGTGTGTACACAAAATGCAAAATTTCATCCAGATCTGCTGCCCAGTTCTAGTGACACCTTCATCAAGCTGTCATTTTATTAAGTTAACACAAAAGACGGGTTAAACATTTGTTTCGACCTTCAATTAAAGCGATATCGTGGGCTGGCCTCCTTCAGATACAATTTTTCACTACATTACGAAGCTCTGACCGCCCAACGCCCGTGACGTGGCTGGTGTTTGTAAATAGCCCTGGTCAGGCTTCCAACAGCTGACAGTGCGGTACAGATCAAGGTCGTACGATCGGATAAAGAACAAAAAAAAAACACCATGGTCCTACCAGAACGTTAGGACGTACGACGGGCAATGGACTTTCAAATACTGAATCACCAATTAGGGAACCCACTTACGGCTGCCCGCCTGTTAATCACCTGATTCAAACACCTTAACTAATTTTGTTAACCAGGTAAGTTTTACGCCGCTGAAGATTTTCAACATTTCACCAAGTTCGCCAGTACGGCGAGCGTATGAATTTGCGTGGTGCAAGGGCATACGTGCCATTCGATTAAATGTCCTGAAATTCTGTTTCGTGGAAATCATATATGATCTTGAGAAGGCAAAGTTGCGTCAGATTGTGATATAATAAATATATATTGTTTAAATCTCGTCCGTCTAATCACAATAAATTCTTATTAAATATTAAAATATTACAATAATTAACATTTAAAATATTTAAAATATATCAAATGATGTTCTTTATCGAAATATTCCATTTACATTAGACCACCACTTTTCACGACATGTTTCAGTTCCTAAAAGAACATCGTTTGATATCTGATAAAAATGTACGCTAAAATAATATATAGAAATTGTATTTAAGAAATTGTATTTAAGTTATTATTGATTTGAATCTTTATATAATTATATACACCTGAAGATAGTTCTTTTAGGAACTGAAACATGTCGTGAAAAATGATGGTCTAATGTAAATCGAATATTTCGATAAACATCATTTAATATTTTAAATGTTAATTATTGTAATATTTTAATATTTAATAAGAATTTATTGTGATTAGACGGACAAGATTTAAACAATACATATGATCTTATCACATTACATTTATTTTAAAGATATAAAACAACATGCTAATTTCCCGCGAAAACTTGATATATAATTAGAGTCTTAATATGTATAATAAATGACGTTCAACTTTAAACTTGTCTTAGTCTTGAATCTCATCTTTCATGCTACTAATACGCGTGTCATCATATTCTGATTTAACAGCCAAATATATAAACGCGAAAGGTCAACTATTAAAACCTCCCATATGGAATCGTAAACTAGAAGAGAAACTTCTAGCTCAGACTGTCCACTGAACCATGCGCAATGGCAGAAACGTAGGAGACTGCTGTGGCATTGATTCGAAAGTAAAGGCAAGGCAGAGCAGTCTGTTGACATATAAGGGATCACTCTGAAATACTCACTTTCTGACTTACGCAGACAGGCCTACCACAGCCTCCGACAACGTCGATGAAAATCATGTTCCAAACGGCCTTTCTGGACAGTTGTTACAATGCCATGAACGTCTTAACGTGATTACAAATGATAAATTTTAAGGACATTCTCACCTCAATATATCACATATAGCGGACGTGCACGTATTTATTTTTGGCAAAGGAATGTATTTTTTCACAGGCGCATTTACGATGTTCCAAAATCAAACTGCCCCCTCCAAAGATTAGGTCGTTTTTGACTAACGCGCTGAAGAACATTTATGAAAGGCGATTCGCAATGGACGTCTCCCATACCTACCCGAACCGCAGTCAGTGGGCTACATAAACCAATGAACTCGGTATGCAAATGAGAACGGAAATGTACTCACAGTGTAAACTGTTATCGCTTCTGAAATTTTAAATTCTATAGTAAAGTCCGCATACGTAAACATTTCAATGTATTTTCTATTCAGAATGATCTGAAACAAGATGAACATTTGTTTTGAACTCTTGTTTAGAATGCACCATCAGCAACGGTGACTCGAATTACACGATACACACAACAGATTCTGATCAATGGTGATAATGTCAATTTTTTTTATTAAGTGTTCTGTCTGACGACAGGTCCATATGAACAGGATCCTTCCATCCTTTTCTCGGACTGGGACCTGTTCATATACGTTCTTGGCAGATGATCCAGAAGTGGTTTGCCATTGCCTTCTTCTGTGTGTGAATGGAGTAATTGTTGGATGCCACGGAGGAAAACTCCGTGTTGCCTAGACCACGGCCTTGCCCAACACAAGTTATAAATTCGAAGCCGAGACCCCAGGATTACAAGGCCAGCGTTCTAACCGCTAGACCACCGTGGCGGTTAACAAATCCATAAGAACTCGCAAAGTTAAAATATTTTGGAACAACAGTACAACGTCAAAATTGCATTCATTAAGAAATTAAGTGGAGATTAAATTCGGATAAACCCTGTTTTCATGCCTGCTATCTAAAAGCGTACAGATCTGAATAAACAGGGCGATTTTTACTTGTCTTGTGTATAGAGGAAACCTGCTTAGAAAATATGAGACTAAGAAGATCGAAGTGATAGAAGGCTGGATAAAACTGTAATATGAGAAATTTCATAATTTGTACTCTGAACCAAATATTAGAACGATCAAATCATGCGGGGATGAAACTGGCAAACATGGATCTAACCTAAGTTTCCTGCGCAGCCAAATCTGCGGCCTCCTTAAAGTAACGAGACTGTGGAGTAGAGACAGCGTTGCTGCTTGTCGTGTTGAACATGAAAGTCCGAAGTACGCAAGTGTCAGGGTTTCTTGGGCAACAAGACGCACTTTCACCTCTAGTTTAGCTTAGCAAACAAGACGAATAAAATAAGAGTCCACATTCACACGAAACAAAGTCATATTTCCCGGTTTACAAAACGATAAACTGCGAATCTCCCCTTGCGACTAAGCACCACACCGCACACGTGCATGGGGAAATGGACGTGAAGCTAGGATCAGTCTTAACTTCCAAGATGGCCGTCTTCCGGGATGTTACGCCGTGTAGTCTGGTTGATACTGAGCGTCGTTTCACAGGTGCTTACTACCAACATCATCAGGGTGATGATTGAGGTACTATGCACTTCTGAAACGCCCGTCAATTTCTAACAGACTGCACTGAGCAACATTCTGGAAGACGGCCATCTTCACAATCGTCGCACGTACTAACTTTCTTAACCTCAGCGCTAGGAGCCGGTTAGCACAGCGTCGTAGATGCGTATAGGAGAATGGAAGTGAAGGCAGTTATTAGTAACCTCGTATCAGGATCAGGTTAAGCGGATCCCAGAGCCAGTCTGGATAAAAAGAATCCTGCTAAAATTCTGTACAAAAAAAAAGTCATCACATAAAAATCGACCTGTTTCGGAACATTTGTGTATACTCAACGAAAAACAAAATACTACTTCATAACATTTTCAACTAATATGTATTTAATTTGTCAAACAAAAATGTTCTCCACCAAAGACATATGACATTTAGGAAAGTCGCAAAGGGGCCCACGTTTCGAACTTCCTTTTCATTCCGTGGTTTGATGTTACGAAAAGCGCGACCAATCCTACCTAAAGGTACAATTTGGCTGCACGCGACCGAGACAGGCGACAGAGTTACGAGACCGAGATTGGTCGCTTCCTGTCTGCTCTCTGTACAATCGTATGAAGTACAATTACGAGCGCGAGACA